AAATATTCTAGTTCCTGGATCTCAGTCAATCATTTCGTGCCCTGAAAATCTCCTGCATTCATATACTTAAATCAACATTAACCTGGCTTCATATCTGATTATACATGTAATAACAGCAGCAAGGATTATTTATGCACAAAATTGGAAAGTAGAGAATATACCATCGGAGGGAGAAAAATGTAGACTGTGCAAAAATGAATAGATTAACTATGATGATAAAGGAAAGAGAAGATTCAGAATATTTTAAGATGTGGAATAAATTTTACTATTGGTTAGAAAAGAGATATAAATAAGTTTTAAAAGAGATTGAAGAAAAAAAAATTTTGTAATTAGAATATTATATTAATGGAAAACCTTTGTAATGGATTTGGTGAGATTGAAGACAGAAGAGACAGAGAAGAGAAGAAATTTTTGAAGAGAACACCGAAATGTCACATGGAAGAAATGAATGATGTACTCAATGTTTGTTTGTCTTAAAAAAAACTTTATTAAAAAAAAAAACATTAACATGGCTTCTTTGTTCAAAAATGTCACTATGATTAGAAAATTATTCCTTGCCTTTAGTTTATCACTATATATTAAAGATATATACTGAAGATTAGCTGTCCTATTGCAGATGTTTTCCACGTGCAAATCAACTTTCAATAAATCTGTAAATACAAGGTATCTATCCCGAAGATCTCAACCAGCTACACAAAACAGAGACAACATGAGCAGTTGTAGCTCATAATGAACTGTTTAGTTCTATTTGCTTCTGAATCTTCTAGAATAAGTTTCTTTCAGGGCAGAGACAGCATTTAAAAGTGAGAAGGGGAGTCAAGATAATTCTATGCGGTCTAGATTTAATAATAATAATAATAATAATAAGACCCTTGGTGGCACAGCAGACTAAAGTGCTGCTAACTAGTACCAGCTGCCTGCAATTACTGCAAGTTCGAATCTCACCAGCTCAAGGTTGACTCAGCCTTCCATCCTTTCGAGGTAGGTAAAATGAGGACCCGGATTGTGGGGGCAATAAACTGACTTTGCATAAAATAGAACAACGCTTAGAGGGGGCCAAAAGCCCTACTAAGCAGGTATATACAAAAGTATGAAGGCTATTGCTTAACGCATTGTAAGCCGCCCTGAGTCTCCGGAGAAGGACGGCATATAAATCGAACCAATAAAACAATAATAATAAGGTTGAATGAATGAATGAATTTTATAGTGATAACAATTGGTATGACAGGAATCTTTTTTCCTTCTTATACTTGTTCATTAATCTTGGTTCTCTTTTTAGTTACTCTCGGTTTATTTCAAGCAAGGCCAACTACCTGATTTTATTGCCATATTGAGATCCCAAGGAGGTTTTGTTCTGTGATACATTGAAATACGATATGCAAAATGACTTAGAGGAATGTTGGTTTTACATACAATTTTCACTCCAGTTTACTTTCTTTCTGCAGTGTCTGCAGGGTAGAGTCCCTCCCCCAAAAAAACCAAAATGTTGGCCATCCATCAGGCGGTTCCTGAATATGGCCTGAGATTGAAGCTCTTCACATTCCCAGCCACTAAATTGGGAGTGGCAGAACCCAAGGTTGCCGGAGTGATTTATCAGAAAGTGAGAGAAAAGTTTCAGAAATAACTAAATTAATTAAAAAAGGTTGGGGTAACCTGTGAGTACCTTTAATGGAGGGTGGGAAACTTCTCGCTTTTCATCCTCCACTGAAGTGTGTTGAGGATGTGAAGACATTTTATTTATTTATTTATTTGTTTCCATTTCTATACTGCCCTTCTCCAAATAGGACTCAGGGCAGTGAACAGCCAAAGTAAAAAACAGAACATACAAAATTTAAAAAACAGTTTAAAATAATTAAATATTTTGGCCGTAAATTAAAACAATCCAATTTAAAATCAATTTAAAATTTAACTCAAGCCAGCCCAGCTAGTTGAAATAAATCTACATGATATCACACATCATGAAGTTTCAATAACCCTGTTGGTTAGAAAAATGTATTTATTTTCTTGCCCGTTATTGACATTCCGGTGCCTAATTGGTATCTCCCTTGTCACACAGAATCTCTGTTTACAGCCACAATATCTTAATCACTTAAATCAGGAAACTCTACTGGGTGCAGCTCAAACAAAGTCAAGATATTTCTCCAGTGAATGTAAATAGAAACATTAATTTCTCCAGAAGCAAGGGGTGAATTCTTAACTTAACTTTACTACCGGTTTGGAACAGGGCTGTGCACTCTTCTGCACATGTGCAGAAGCTTCCTGATGACGTCAGAGTCGGTGGGCGGAGCCTCCCGCCAGTTTTACTACCGGTTCTATAGAACCGGTCTGAGCCGGGGGGTGCAACCCACCACTGGTGAATTCCAAAGGGCCAGGGAGTGAGAGGGAAGAGCTAAAGGATTGACACCTCTCCACTTTCCTTGTGATTGATTTATTTATTTATTCAGTCGTTCATTTTGAAAAATGAACGGTCTCGTTTCATTCACTCGTGGAAATGAATGGATTCATTTTGAAACGAAATGAATCGGGCCCACAAATTGCTGCCTTTGATCATGCTATTTGGCCCTGCACCCACTGGAATAATGGATGATGATTGATTGATTGATTGATTGATTGATTGATTGATTGATTTTGAAATGAAAAACCGTGCCCCACTCAGGGCAATTTTGCCGAGGGGCTGCTTTTGGCGTTCATTCATTCATTCATTCATTCATTCATTCATTCATTCATTCATTCACTTATTTATTTTGGAATGAAAAGCCCTGCTCTACCTGTGCATAAAGTTTTTGCTACCTAGGTGCAGGACCTTACTTTTCTGAACTGCATCTTGTTGGATAGGGGCCAATGCTCAAGTCTGTCAAGATCCTTCTGAATCTTGAATCTGTCTTCCAAAGCGTTAGCAATTCCCTCCAGCTTTGCATCATTTGCAAATTTGATGAGTCGCCCTTCAATCCCCTCATCTAGATCATTTGCAAAGATGTTGAAGAGGACTGGGCCTAAGAACCATGAGTTACGCAGTAGTTCCTTCTACGTGGTGCAGTGGCAGTTCCCTCCTGGCCCAGTATGCAACCTTCCCCTGGCATGTACCTTCCAGCTATGAAGTCATGGCTTGTGCAATGCGCCCCTCCAGCTACAGGGTGCAGCCCTTCTGGAGTCTCTGGGTCTGGCCTGGAGAGGTGGTCATTCTTGGTAGGAAGGTGTGTATAAAAAAAAGAGACTTCTGCAGTCAAATAGGTATGCCCCATCAGCACACGTCTTTCAACCTGTAATTAGTTATTTTCTCTTTTCCTGCAATAAAGGTTGATGTCAGATGATAAGGTGAGCTACCCGGATCCTAACAGCTGTTTTTTCACCCCCTTCAATGTAGAATGGAGTCCAACAGTTTGCCTTGCGTCAATTTTCCCATGAAAAGCAAACAAACTTTCTCAATTCTCACCTTTTGTTGTTGTTCTTAGCGTTTGTTCCAAAATTGAAGTATTTATTCCCTCTGTTTGCCTCTCACTCACACCCGCTTAAATCAGACTGGACACACATAAGCAGGTTAGCTGCAAAACTCTTGCTGTTTTGTAGAGCAAGGGTGTTAAACTCAAGGCCCGTGGCCCGGATTTGGTCCATGGGGTGCTTAGATCTGACCCGTGGGGCCACCCTGGAAACAGCGAAGGACTGACCCACGGTGCTTCTGCCAGTGAAAACAGAGCCCTCCCAGGTTCCGTTTTCGGCCACGACAGCCTCCTGCAGACCTCGGCTAGCAAAACTAACTCCCTGGGCTCTGTTTTCGCTGGCAGAGAGCTGCAGGAGGCCACCACGGCACACAGCCCTCCCAGGCTCCGTTTTTGCTGGCCGAGGGCTAGCAAAACAAAGTAAAAAAAAGAAAACAAAAGGAGAAATGTTTTCCCTTTTTGCATTTGAGCATGCAAGAAGGGACGGGAAAGGAGAAAGGGAAAGAGGAAAGGCAAAGAAAAAAGAAGGGAAGTGGAAAGAGAACAAGGAAGAAGAAAGAAGGAAAGAGGGGCAGGAAGAAGAAAGGAGAATGAAGAGGAAGGGAAAAAAGAGGAGGGAGGGAGAGAGAGAGGGAGGAAGGGAGGGAGGAAGGAAAGAAGGAAGGAAGGAAGGAAGGAAGGAAGGAAGGAAGGAAGGAAGGAAGGAAGGAAGGAAGGAAATTATAATGAGAGGGAGGGAGAGTTTGAGGGAAGTCCTGCCTTAGCACTTGGCCACCACAAGTGCCCCAATACAAGTGACATCAAGCTGGCCATGCCCACCTCAGTCACGCCTACCCCCAGCCGGGGTAGCCTGCTGGGGGTTCGCAGGGGTTTGGGAGAACCTCTAGCTGAGATTCCATGCAGTTTGGAGAACCCCCAAATCTCACTGCTGGCTGGCCCAGCCAAGCCCACCCTGCCCTTCCCAGTAGTCCCCACATGGCCCATTTTGGATGCTGGTAAGTGCAGGGTGCACGTGGAGGCTCGAGGAGAGCGAAAAAAACGGGCTTCCGGAGGGCCTCCAGAGCCTGGGGAAGCTGTTTTCACCCTCTCGGAGGCTCAAAGAAAGCCTCCAGAGCCCGGGGAGGGCAAAAACACCCCCTCACCCACCGGGGTGCAGGAGGCTGACTAGGCCACGCCCACCATGGCCATGCCCACCCAACAACCAGGCAGAGAACCTCTTGCTAAAATTTTTGAAGCCCCCCCTCCTGCCCCAGCCCCCCCCCCAAGGTCAACCCCAACAACCCTGATGTGGCCCTCAATGAAATCAAGTTTGACACTCTTCCTGTAAAGGATATCAATAGTGGGGGGAAATGGCCAGAAGTTCCTGAGGCCCAGAGAGAACTGGGTCATCTCTGGAGCTGTGTATCTCAACCTCAACCTGAAGACCAGGAAATTCTGGGAGTTATATTTCGTTTGTCTTCAAGTGCCAAGGTTAATAAACCCTGTTCTGGAGAATCTTCGCCTATTAGCTGTGAAAGGTCTTAGGTTTGCTCAGGACAAACAACAGTTAATCATTAGAACAGGATTTCTTCTTATCAGTGTTGCGGTCAACCATAGACTCAACAGTATATATACTCACAGGGGAAATAAGAGCTCACAGTTACTATCGGCTAATACTCAATGCTGCAATCCAAAAAGACGACTATGGTAAGGAGAATTCTTTTCTTTCTTGTTTCAGGCTGACCGCTTCGCAACTGCAGAAGTTAGGAACATCAAGCGCTGTTCAATCAGGGGTGAAATCCAGCAGGTTCTCACGAACCAGTAGAGGAAATTTTGAGTCGTTCGGAGAACCGGCAAATGCCACCTCTGGCTTGGACCCTGAATGGGGTGGGAATGGAGATTTTGCAATATCCTTCCCCCAGGAGTGGGGTGGGAATGGGGATTTTGCAGTATCCTTCCCCTGGAGTGAGGTGGGAATGGAGATTTTGCAATATCCTTCCCCTGCAAGTTCGAATCTCACCAGGCTCAAGGTTGACTCAGCCTTCCATCCTTTCGAGGTAGGTAAAATGAGGACCCGGATTGTGGGGGGCAATAAGCTGACTTTGTATGTAAAAAAAAGAACACCGCTTGGGGGGGCCGAAAGCCCTACTAAGCAGGTATATACAAAAGTATGAAGGCTATTGCTTAACGCATTGTAAGCCGCCCTGAGTCTCCAGAGAAGGGCGGCATATAAATCGAACCAATAAATAAATAAATAAATAATAAATAAATAAATAAATAAATAAATAAATAAATAAATAACAGAAATTTGGGGCCCAATTGTGATCGTAAATAGAGGACTTGCCTGTCCAACGTAGAAGGGCTATTTTAATCCCATTGTATTCGTGTTGGTGATTCTTAATTTCTATGTGTTCAGGGGACTTATATCAGGGCAGGATAAAATTATTGTAAATTTTATTTTATTTATTTTTATTTTATTTTTATTAAATAAGACCAAAAAACCCTTGAATGATTCTTGCCAATGCTGATTAATTTTTCCGTCTATTCAGAAACTCCTCCTCAGCCTGATCGTGTTGTGCACCATCTTCAGCTTGTGTTATGGATTCTGCACTGTTGAAATAATCAAGCCCAAAATTGTTAATGGTAGGTCCCAAAAGGTGTTTTTTTTTTTTTCCCTTCAGGGGATAACTGGGCTTTCTTGTTTTTTCTTTTGAAGATGTTTCGCTTCTCATTCAAGAAGCTTCTTCAGCTCTGACTGGATGGTTGGGAACGGAAGGATTTATACTCCTTGCAGACAGCTGGTCATTTGCATCCTTTTAATTTTTTTTTTTAATTTGATTTATATGCCGCCCTTCTCTGGAGACTCAGGGCGGCTTACAATGCGTTAAGCAACAGCCTTCATCCTTTTGTATATTTTTATACAAAGTCAGCTTATTGCCCCCACAATCTGGGTCCTCATTTCACCTACCTTAGAAAGGATGGAAGGCTGAGTCAACCTTGAGCCTTGGCGAGATTCGAACCTGCAGTAATTGCAGGCAGCTGGTCTTAATAACCAGCTTAATAACAGGGTGCCTTAGACCACTGTACTACCAAGGCTCTTAGAAGGTCGTTGAGGCCACTTGGAGGTTTATCTGTGTCCTCGGGGGTCACCTGAGTAGTGCAAATGGTTCCTGTAGTCTGCAATTCTTTTTCCTCTGAAAATCCATTCCTACTCCCACACCGTTCAAAGGGTGCTCATCCCAAATTGCACAGCTAAAAGTCTGTAGAGATTCTCCGTCACCTAAAAGTGCTTTTTCAAGAGACAACTGGACTTTCTGGTTTTTCCTTCAAGATGTTTCGCTCCTCATCCAGAGCTGAAGAAGCTTCTTGGATGAGAAGCGAAACGTCTTCAAGAAAAAAAAAACCAGAAAGTCCTCTTGAAAAAGCACCTTTGGGGCACCAGCTAATTAATTCTCCAGTTACCATATTTTTTGGACTATAAGACGCACTTTTTTGTCTCCCAAAAGGGGGTGAGAATGTCTTTGCATCTTATAGACCGAATATTGCCGAAGTCCCGCCCACCCACCGACCTTTTTTTTTTTGCCTTTGCACGCCCCATTTTTGGGCCTTTTTTTTTTTTGGCATTTTTTAGGGCTCTTTTCAGAATATTTTCAGGGCTTTTTTTCAGCCCATTTTTGAGCCCTTTTTTTTTGGCCCATTTTTGAGCCTTTTTTTTTTTTGAGCCATTTCAGAAAAAATGGCCTGAAAAAAGCCTCAAAACAGGCTGAAAAAAAACCTCAAAAATAGGCCAAAAAGCCTTGAAAACGGGCTGTAAAAAGCCTCAAAAATGGGCCTGAAAAAAGCCTCAAAACAGGCTGAAAAAAACCTCAAAAATGGGCCAAAAAGCCTTGAAAACGGGCTGTAAAAAGCCTCAAAAATGGGCCGAAAAAAGCCTCAAAACAGGCTGAAAAAAACCTCAAAAATGGGCCAAAACATGATGTATCATTTAGATACATCATGTTGGTGCTACTGGTGAAAAGCCAGTACTAAAGTTCCCGGGCTTTTCACCCCAATATAAGTTATAGTTTTCTCAAGTTTTCAAAACAAACTGTCACATTGTCCAAAGAATAACCCTGCAAAGATAAAACACTGTGGGGTTAGTCAGTGCCTCTAGCCCCCTTGACAGATTGCACACATCTGGCATTTCATTTCATCCCTAGTCTCTGGAGAGCTTACTCCTTACCCTTTTCCCTCCTTAAGGCTCCAGACCCATTTCTGAACTGACATACTGACCAAGATTTCTCCTTTTCCTGTAGGGAAAAAAGTAGAGGAGTGCATCGACTCGTCTGATGGAAGTGTTCATCCGGTGGGATCAAAATGGAATTCAAAAAATTGTATGGAATGCTACTGTTCTGCTGACCAGATAGGGTGCTGCTCCAGGTAGATGGAAAATTGGAAATGCTGATGGGTTTTTTATCTCTTTATAAAGATTGTGCTTAAAGTGTAAATGAAAGTGTATCAAAACTGTTGGGGTATTCCTTGACAATGGGTTTTCCAATAGTCAGTTAAGGAGGCTACTTATTCTAAAATTAAGGGCTCTGTGACTTTGTCTATTACACCGTCAGGAAAAAAAAATATTTTTCTGGTTGTTTCAGCCTTTCTGTTTATTTCCCAAAAATATTTTCAAAGATCCGACATGTGGTTGCCATCCCAAAACATGTCATAATTCTACTTCTTTCAATTTCTCCGGTCTAAAATGATGTTGTGTTGACTCTTAGGTATGGTGGTCCCATGTCCATTGAAGGATGCATCAGTAAGGAAGATCCAGAAACCTGCACATACAAATTTTACAAGATTGATAATCCCTCCATCCCATGTGACATGGCGGAATGAATGAATGATTCCATCAAGTACAAAGCCCCTTCACACGATGTCTGAAGACTTAACTTGCTCTGGCATTTTAAAATGTTTGCCTAAAGGCATATAAAACATAATAAAGAGGAATTCTATATACTGCTCAAACTCTTGTGTCTGTAATCTTAAACTGGGAGAAATGGTGTGTCCTAGGCAGGGGTGAAATGCTTCCGGTTCAGACCGGATCGGGCGATCCGGTAGCGATTGTGGCAGGTGGTTCGGAGAACGGTAGTATAGGTTGTAAAAAAAATGCTTTAAAAAAGTTTTAAAAAAAAGAAGTTGGCCACGCCCACCCAGTCACATTACCAACCACCACCAAGCCACACAAACAGAACTGCTAGTAACAAATTTTACATTTAAATCATTTAAATCAAGCAGGTCTACTGGGTGCGGTTACAAATAAAATCAGGATATTTTTGTCTCCTCGGGAGTCAGAAGCACATTAAGTAAACAGCCAGCATAGATGCATTCTTTTCCATGTTTGTTCCCCATTTCGTGTTTGCTTACTCTCTTGTAATCCCTTCCTCTCCGACGAATTGAAGTACAAATATTGATTTCTGCCGAACTGAGGTGTGAATGCCAAAGGACCGGGAAGCGGGAAAACCCCGCTATAAAATTTACAATATTTTTCTCCAGCTTCCTTATGAGTCGAACTTTTTTGGCTGCTAGGACTTTCCTGGTTGTTTGGGGGTGATCTCCTCCTGATGCTGTAAAGTGTTAAGAGCAATTTCTAAATAAACCTTTTTGGAGGATTATTATCATTCTGGTTAAGGGGCATTGCTGACATAGATCATAGATCACATTAGAGAAGGGATGGCTGGGAAATTCTGGAAATCCAGACATCTGTTGTGGCCCATCAGTGGCCTGTGCAGCTAGTAGCTGATTCTGACAGCGAGGAGGCTGGTGTGGTGCTGCACCAGCAGCCTGTGCAGCTGGCACTTGAGTCAGACAATGAGGAGGCTGGAGAAGATGTCGTGCCAGAGGCGGGGATGCAGCCAGGGCCTTCAGAAGCTCCCATAAGTGAAGAGGAAGAAGAGGAGGAGACTCTTCTCGATGTACGGGCACGCAGAGCTGCCAAAAGGCAGGAATGGCTCCTCAGGAGGAGGTCTCCTCAAGAGTAAGGCTTGGGGCTAATCGGCCACTCCCTTAGCCTATTTAAGGAGGAATGCCGACTGAAGCAAATTGTAGGGAACAACTTTAGTTCGCTCTCCTTTGCGTCTGGATTCTCTGCAAATTGCTTCTGGGCTTTCTGCCAACCTTAGTAAGATTGTGATTACCTTATCTTTGGTTTCTTGTAGGCTGTTAAGAAAGTTAATGAATAGCCTTTGTTTGAAAAAGACTGATTTAATTTAGTAAACTAAGGTTTGTACAGACTTCTTTGGGTCCGTAGCTGGGGCAGAACGACATCTTAAAATCCCAGAAGTTGAGAGACACTAGAAAGCACGGCACATGAAGAGTTCTCTAACCTTATGTGTGCACTTGTTGAGGCTGTGATGGTACTTTAGATCTGAAGCAGTAGTGGGTTTCACTTATCTCCGCTACCAGTTCAGAATTGGGAGCACATGCGTGTGCGTGCTTGCTTCGCTCACATGCGGCACTTCCATGATGAGCTTGAATTAATATATTGATCCTTTCACCGCCTTAAAGGCTTCCCAAAGTGGCTTGTATAGAATCAATTCTAAGAAGAAGAAGAGGGGGAAAAGGACACAGAGGATCCAAATCTTCCATCCAATAAAATTTCTCGTCTACCATTCAAGGGTTATTTGGATTTGGGGGGCCCAAATCAGAGGTGAAATGCTCCCGGTTTGGACCGGATTGCCGATCCGGTAGCGATGGAGGCAGGTGGTTTTCGGAGAACCGGTAGCAAAAATCCCCCCCCCCCCATGCCCAGCTGAGCCACACAATCATCAGAGGCTTTTTTTTTTTTTTACTTTTAAAAGCATTTTTTCTACAACCTCTTCGGCCAAAAAATGCTTTTAAAAGTAAAAAAAAAAAAGCCTCTGATGATCGTGTGGCTCAGCTGGGATTGTCAGAGGCTTTTAAAAGAAAAAAAACCCTTTTTTTCTTTTAAATGCCTCTGACGATCCCAGCTGAGTTGCCTGAGTTCAGGCAACTCAGCTGGGATCATCAGAGCCTTTTAAAAGCATTTTTTCTGCAACCTCTTAAGGTTGTAGGGGGGAAAAATGCCTTTAAAAGCCTCTGGCGATCCCAGCTGAGTTGCCTGATTGTCAGAGGCTTTTAAAATCATTTTTTTCTGCAACCTCGTTGTAGAAAAAATGTCTTTAAAAGTAAAAAAAAAAATTTGGCCACGCCCACCCAGTCACATTACCCTCCCCCCCACCAAGCCACGCCCAGTAGTAACAAATTTTAGATTTCACCACTGGCCCAGATGGTCATTGTAATCTGTATGCATGCAAGCTGATGCTTGTCCTCTGAGCAGTGACCCCTCTCTGAATTCTCAACACAAAATTCAACAAACTTTCTTCAGGTATATTTCTGTTTGCAGCCCGGATATAGTCGTCTTAGGTGTTGTTGTTGTTTTTTTTCTGCTTTCATTGCAGAATGTTGTAAAACTTCTTCTGAGAAATGGGAAGTTGGATATGGAAATATTGCCATCTTGTGGTGACGGCAGAACCTGTAGGAGAAAGGGAAACAGTCTTAACGGGATGAGAGCTTGGAATTTAGCTCAGACTTCTGGTTGTCTCCCAAAAGTATTGGGCTTTGAAATACCCAGCAATCTTAACCAATAGCATCACCGTTGAGGACTTCTGGGAATTGTCCCAGATCATCTAGAAAGAGCAAAGCTGCAGACGGCGGTTTTAAGTCAACAGATCCATAGTTATGTCCAAAATGAAGAGCAATCTGGAGGAGGAGGGGGAGGGGGAGGAGGAGGGGGAGGAATGGAGGGAAGAAGAAGAAGAAGAAGAAGAAGAAGAAGAAGAAGAAGAAGAAGAAGAAAGAAGAAGAAGAAGAAGAAGAAGAAGAAGAAGAAGAAGAGGAGGAGGAGGAGGAGGAGGAGGAGGAGGAGGAGGAGGAGGAGGAGGAGGGAGGAGGAGGAGGAGAGGGAGAGGAATGGAGGGAAGAAGAAGAAAGAAGAAGAGGAGGAGGGGAGGAGGGGGAGGGGAAGGGGAGGAATGGAGGGAAGAAGAGGGAGAAGAGGAAGGGAAGGAGAAAGGGAAGAAGAAGAAGAGGAGGCGGAGGAGGCGGAGGAGAGGGAGAGGAATGGAGGGAAGAAGAAGGAGAAAGAAGAAGAAGAAGAAGAAGAAGAAGAAGAAGAAGAAGAAGAAGAAGAAGAAGAAGAAGAAGAAGAAGAAGAAGAAGAAGAAGAAGAAGAAGAAGAAGAAGAAAGCTTTGCACATCAGCAACTGGGCTGACGCAGCAATGGGCCAACCTGCACTTGTTTCACTTCACTTGTCTCCTCAAAACATTAATGTTCCTTGAATAAAATGAAGCTTAGTCACAAGTAGTAGTAACCTGCTACTTAATTAAGCAACCGAAGAATCATTGCGCAAGTTGTCAACTGGGTTGGATTTCACAGATGCTGGCTACGTCCTCTCCTAGCAAATTCGATTTCTGTGACGCAGTGCCTGGAGCGTTGTGCCAAAAAGAGCTGAGTCGACAAATCTGTGGTGGGGTGAGGGGGCCGAATGGCATCCAAGTGGGAGGGCGTGTGACCTTTACACAAAAGACGAGGATTGTTTTGGGCTTCCCAAACGCTGCATAGAAAACCTTTGAATCACAGGCGCAATCTTTAAATGTCAGCACCTCTAGTTAACGCTAAGCTTCATGAATTTCATTCCTTTTGCACCAGGAGTGGGCTCAAAATTTTTTTACTACCAGTTCTGTGGGCGTGGCTTATTTTGTGGGCGTGGTTTGATGGTCATGTGACAATTCTTTAGGATTTAGCAGAGGTACTGGTCTACTAGGGTTTTAAATGCTTGCAGAGCTGTACCGGTCTACTCATTGGTTTTTGCAGGTACTGGTCTACTCATTTGTTTTTGCAGGCACCGGTCTACTCATTTGTTTTTGCAGGCACCGGTCTACTCATTTGTTTTTCGAGCGCACTGGTCTACCACCACACTGCCTTTTAACACTGATCAGCTGTAGGGAGGCCCTTTGAAGCCCCGTGGCAAGAGTTTAATCAGTTGTTTTTCCTTCTAGCCAATCAGCTGGGACTCGGGAGGCAGCGAATAGATTGGGGGCGGGGCCAAATAAAAGGTAAGAATAACGCAGGGGGGGAGTGGGAGGGCCCAGCTCCCGAACAAAAAGAACCAGTTCGGTGATGTCATATCGTCATCGCTACCGGCTCGTCCGAACCGGGCCAAACCGGGAGGAACCCACCACTGTTGTGCATCTTCACTTTCCCAATTTGGCATGTGAAGTGAAACATCTTCTTCCTCAAAGGAAAAAGAAAACATAGTCCAGTTGCCTTTAGGGAAAACAAATACCTTTGAGACAACCATGACCTGGAAGACTGAGAATCTCCATAGACATTTTCAAGGAAAAAAACTAAGAAAGTCCAGTTGCATTTTTGAGACTTGCAACCAGGGGTGAAATCCAGCAGGTTCTGACAGGTTCTGGAGAACCGGCTGTGGAAATTTTGAGCAGTTCGGAGAACCGGCAAATACCACCTCTGGCTGGCCCCAGGGTGGGGTGGGAATGGAGATTTTGCAGTATCCTTCCCCTTGAGTGGGGTGAGAATGGAGATTTTGCAGTATCCTTCCCCTGGAGTGGGGTGGTAATGGAGATTTTATAGTATCCTGCCCCTGGAGTGGGGTGGTAATGGAGATTTTACAGTATCCTGCCCCTTGAGTGGGGTGGGAATGGAGATTTTGCAGTATCCTTCCCCTGGAATGGGGTGGGAATGGAGATTTTACAGTATCCTTCCCCTGGAATGGGGTGGGAATGGAGATTTTACAGTATCCTTCCCTTGAGTGGGGTGGGAATGGAGATTTTACAGTATCCTTCCCCTAGAATGTGGTGGGAATGGAGATTTTACAGTATCCTTCCCCTTGAGTGGGTGGGAATGGAGATTTTACAGTATCCTTCCTCTTGAGTGGGGTGGGAATGGAGATTTTGCAGTATCCTTCCCCTGGAGTGGGGTGGGA